CGGGCAGAGCCCGGTGGGGCTCCCACCTCCCGCCGCCTCCCCGGCCCCGTCGGAGGCATTTCCGAGGCGTTCTGCCCCACTGTCTGCTAAGGAGCAGTAGGTTAATGGCATTTCAGTGAAGTTGGTCTCTCGGTGGGCTAAGCCCAACCTAGGAGTTTCTCACTCCTCCTTCTCACAGACGGGTTTCCGGGCGGCTCTTTAACATCCCCATTCATTAGCACGCTAATCAAGGCTGTAATCCCGGCGAAGAGGTGCCCGTGCGTTTGTGCTGCGGCTCAAACCTCCTCCCGAGCGCGCACCTTTGCGCAGAGCCGCGCAGCGCCCGCTCCCCCCTCCGACGGCCGCCTCCACCGGGAGCCTATTTTCTGACATTACCGTAGGCTCCGGGTAAGAAAACTAACAAACCCTTCTAATACAGTTTAAAACACTTTGATGTCTTGCCAAGAAACACACTTCCTTCAAGAGACAAGTCAACATTTGTTTTTCACATTAAATGGCGTTTAGTTGCCACTGAAAAAATGATACTGAAGGACCACTTTTTAATTCGATGTATAACAACCGCGGGGGTCTAAGAGAAAATAACGGCGAAAGCTATAGACACAAATAACTAAATTACCAAAACGTTAGTATATCTCCTAGGTTCATTAATATGTAACAGACTCCCCAGTTAATCTCCAAAAGCCAGTGTTCCCCCTCTAAAATAGCACTCTGGGACGAATTGTACAGGAGATCAATCACTGCTAATGCAGTAAGGTTTACTGCAAGGGGGGAAAAAGCTATTTACACCTTCAAATAGAAGCTTTTGAGATTTAAGAGTAAGGGTCATACATCACCAAGAATAAATGATTATGAATTGGTAAACGCGCCCTCCAGCCATTAGCTATGCGACGCGATTTATCATTTCTGGGTGTTTTTCTTTTTAAAATCATCTGGCTGTTTGAAAAGAAAAGCATGACGGAGAAAAAAAAAAACACCGCGGGAAAGTTTGTTTTTGCATATACTATAAGTCATCAAAACACGGCTATTCAGAAATAAACGGGGTCACTTATGAACCGCTTAACGAGGGACAATAAAGTCCCTCCATTGTACACTTTTATGACTGAGCGATCGGTGGGCTCCTCCGAACCGCGCCTGCGGCCGCTCCTGCCTTTTTTCTGCCTTTGCGTTGGAAGTTACAAAGCCGCGAGCGGGCTTAGAAATCATTCACGCCCTAAAAATGAATCTTTCCGTCGTTCAGTCGCCTGACAGATATTGAACTTCAGCTACGTGGGACATTTCTCCAGTGCTCAGCAATCGCCGGTCGTTAGCCAAGATGCTGGCAAGCAGCGGGCGGGGGAAGCGGGGAGGGCAGGGGGGCTGCCCAGATGCTGGGTGACAGCGGACACCCCTTCTTTCTGACTCCCTGTTAGAGAAGAGCCGAGGGCAGCTTTGGGTGGGGAGGCTTACGACTCAGGTCCTTGGAAGCTTGCTTAGCCCTCAGGCGATATGTGGAGAGCTTCTTTGCTTTGCTTGTGTGCGTGTCGTTGGCTTTTTTTTTTTTTTTTTTTTTTTTTAGCTGAAATTGGTTCACAATGCCAAGTAAACCTTTTTCCACTTAGCCTGTGCTCAGGGCGGTAGGAATGTTGCTCATCAAATTAAATAATCTGTAATAAAACGCATACTTTGGAGCTGGGAAAGAATGGCAGCGTGCTCTCAGAGGGCGGATCAGCTGGAGGCACCGCTCCCTGCTGCCGGATCTCGGCCTGGCACCTTCCGTCGGGGGGAACCGACGGGGTGGGATGGGGGGTGCCGTCACAAAGGGCTTTTGGGGGGATTCACCTGCCCCTTCGTCGGATCCTCCGCAAATAACCGGCTGCAAGGCAAGGGGCGAGGTGATGGGGCTGGGCAGGGAGGACAGCGAGGTGGACATCCTCTGGAGGAGGATCTCAGGAACAGGTCAGATCGGGGCAGCTCGGACCCTGCAGGCCTCTAGTGGAGGCGTGCGAGGGACCTCGGCTCAGAAGGGCCTCCGGGGAAAACGTGAAGTCCCCTAAATAGTTACATCCCGCCGTCCCCGTACGTCAGGCTTCAACTGTGACAAGTGCCTGTTTTCTTCGGGTAAGGGATTTAATGTCTGGTGAAGGGGACTGTGGCAGCGAGGGTCACAGCAGGTAACCATCTCTGCTAGGGGGCTTTTTAGTCCCACTTCTAACACTCCCAACATATTTGCAAGATTTGGGAATGAAGTGGCTTGCTTGTGAACTTGAGGAAGAGCTGAGATTTCTGGTTTGTTTTACAAGCTCGTTACAGGCGCATTTGGCCAAAGGGCACAGTTTTATGTAAAGACAAAGACAACAGAGCCGTTCTGGGGAATGAGGGGCTTTTACAACTCTGCCCCATCGTTCATTGTCTACTGGGTGGCTTGGAAAAAAAGCCAGGCATTTGCACACGATGAGCTTCGTGCCCTTCTCCTAGGGGTGCTGTTTTGCTCGAGGCACCTAGGGACGTTCACCAAGAGAAAGAGTAGCAACGTTGCGTGGAATTCCCTATGGAAGAAACACACGGGGAAACCGTAGAGACTTTGGCCAGGTGTTGGAGCAGAGGACAGGGGCTGCCTAGCCGCTGCCTGGGCCTGACTGAGTGCCAGAGCTCTGAGAGCATGGACAGACCTCTGGATCAACACAAAGTGTCGCATCCTCGGTTCGATTCCCACTCCATAGAGGGCTTCTAAACGAGCAGTTTCCCTTCGTAACAGGAGACACTGCTCCTCAGCTCCCCAGGACACCCACTGGAAGGTCCACTTCTTGGTCCACCAAAGAGCACTGTGAGATGTTTCCCTCAGAAATCCACTCGTCCTCTCATCCATACTGCTCTCCTCTTTTCCTCAGAAGTCATCTCTCTTTGAACCCCATTTCAGAACGCAGAGAAAGGAAAAAATAAAAAAATCAGAGATCTAGTTCTCCGCAATAGATGAGATTGTCTCCTTGAATATCTAATGCTGCAATTCCACTTCAAAGTAGTATACTCATTTCCTCTTTATTACATCATTCAGCATTTTATTTCTATGATTTTATGTTTTACTGCTGTTGCTTTTTTTCCTCCGCTCAAGTCTATATTTCTGGCGTTATAGAAAGTCTCTGAAGATCCATAAGATTATTATTTATCTGACTTTGTGCGTCTCCGAGTGCTGTATACATTATATAATTGCTTTAAAATGTTTTCATAAATTACATTCAGAAATGTGTCATAGTAAATTACCTTTGTAATAAAATGTAAAAAATGCAAATGGCTGTTGTCTTTATTACGTTTTAAACCATTGGTTTATCTGCACTATTTCACTTGTCAGTTGCACAATATGTTGTATAAAGGGAAAGCACAGTTTGATAACAGATAGATGGAACCTCGTGTGTAATCTAGCAGGCACGTACAGTTTGGGTCATTTCCTTATCTCCCGCAGAAAAGACATTATCCCCCTCATATTTACATACTTTTCAATATTTGTCAAACAATCATAAATTATAAATTAATGAAATGTTCGACAGTCTTCAGAGATCAGACTAATGAAGACATTTACCTTTTTGGTGATTTGGAGTCTCATCTTTGTAAGTTTAATGACATTTAGACTCTCACGGTTTATTAGGCTTTATTAGATTTGTCCTTCACTCCTGCTGTCATTCAGATGTCTCTGCATAAACATCACCTGCTTCAGGTACGGGAACAAATCGACTTCTTCCAGGAAGGCTCCGAAGCACCGCCGGCCCTGGATGGGGTGGGTGGGATGGATGGGGGCTCCGGGAGGCACGGGAGCCCTGCTCACCGCCTCGGCTGGTGCTGCCAGCCCGCTCCCCAGCCGCCTCCCGCGGTCGGGAGTTATTAAATGCCCTCCCAAGCCAAGAAACCCATGTGCGTTTGATTACGAGCCCGGCAGCCAGGCGCACCCACCCGCCCCAGCGGCCCCTCGGGGCTCTCCTGCTCGGGCTCCTGAGCCACGGGGGCAGCTTGCCAGGGCCACGGAGCTGCAGCTCTTTGGACGTTTTTCTTTTGTTTTGCCCGGTGGGTTCGGACGCTCCCAGGCTCCGGGCCGGGTGCAGCGGTGCCCGGGCCGGACAGGCTGCCCGTCCCCGCTCAGCACCGTGAGGGAACTCGCGCTGACGGATGGTGGCCGCCTCCCCAACACGATTAGGCTGCGGGAATTAAGTTGCCCCCGGAGAGACTTGCCCTCATCCCCCTCCACCTTTGCTGGGAGGCACACGCAGAGTCCCGCCGGCCGGAGCCCGGCGCCATCTTCCTGGGAACAAAGACGCGGGGATCCCCCGGCCTCGCCCTGTAATCGAGTTTCCTAATTGCATTACCCCGCCGGCAAATGGCAGGAGCATGTGTCGGGGCGCCGTGCTCCCCCGCCTACCTCCCCCCGGGGCCGCATGGGGAACCGTCGGACACCGAGCTCCGGCCCCGGAGCGGGGAGCTGGGACGGCCGCTGCCTTCATCCTCCGCTTCATCAAATATAGATGGGATCTGAACCTCGCGCTCAGAACCTCTAACATTGTTTGCAGAGGCTTCCAAATATTTCCAAACAACGCTTTTTTAAAACACAATGGAGAGTTATTAAAGCGCTTGTTGGTAAAGTGAGCATGTGTTCTGCAATCATCAAAAATTGATATGTACCGCCAGTAAAGTAATTATGCACCATCCTGAGGATACGAGAACAGTACATTGTTAATCCACTTGCACACCCGTTGACTTGCAGCATCAGGCTGCAAATAGCTTAATTAAGTCATACACGTGGAATATAACCATATTGTTACATTGCATTATGCACAGTATATCTCAATTTATTGGGACAATTAATGCAAGTGATAGACCTCGGGCAAAAAATATTAACCGCAAAGCACTAAAGTTGCATTCTGGTGACATTTGCAGTGCGGGGAGTAAACACTGGAATAAGGCACCGCGGTCCGAGAACCGCGAGGACTTCCGAGGAGCCCCTGGCCCCAAGTCGCCCTCGGCGGGCACTTCGGGAGAACGTCTCTGCTATGGTCCGAGCTGTGCCCCGACGTGTGAAAACACTGCTCCCGGCACCAGGGATGTTGGTGCTGGATGGGAACTCCAGGGTCGGTCCCAAGGAGATGTGGAGCATGGAGCAAGGAAGCTCGGAGCCTAAGTGTTTCCCTGCAAGGTTGAGGAACAACGCGGGGAGAACGGAACGTCAGCGTTCCGCTAGCAATGGTGGGATTGGGAGGGCACAACAGTGCCTTGGAGCCCTTAGGCTAGTGACTGCCTACACGCCGGGATCTCGCCCAGGGGAGCGGTGAAGTTGCAGGTAGCAGTGGAGGTTGCGGGCCCCGAGCGAGTTAAGCCACCCGACTCTCCGGCATCCCGGCACTGCGGGCAGCGCGTTCTGGGCCGGGAGTGCAGCGGGGCCGGGACACCACGCCCGCTGCGCCCGAAATGCCCGAACTTTGGGCCCTCCGCCCGCCTGGCGCCGGTCTCACGGCGGAGCCCCGAAGGCGGTGGGAGCTCCTGCAGCCCCTCGCGCTTTCCCTCCGCCTGCCTGGGGTCTCCAGACACGGACACGGTGCTGGGAGAGGTGCGAGGCGTGGGCAGTGCGGGGCGTGTGCCGCCCGGTTACTCGTGCGAGCGGGCGCGGTACGCTCCTGGCAGCGAGCGGCGGAGATATGTGCTTTTAGAGCCCGATTTATCCCCTTTTCCACAAAACCGCTCCGAATCGATAGTAATTTTCTGGGGAACAAATTATACCCAAACCAAAACCCAAACCCCTTTGTCTGATTGACTCTACTGCCTTTTCCAAATTGTCTAAACGCTTCTCTATTGTGCACTATCATTCCCATCGGGATGAAGTCTCACTAGGTTTCCCCAGCCTGTGTTTTTGAGGGATGCGTAGGGCAATTGCCAGCTGCTCGAGGTCTTTGATTTAACGGATTTCCCAAACGTTTGGGGAAAAATATGTCCGGGAGGTAACCGGGACTCCCCAGGACGTGTCCCCTGCCCACGCTGGAACGTCCCCGTTCGGGACAGCCCCGCAGGCGGGCAGGAACCACTGTCAGACCCGAGCGGGACTGAGGCGGGGGCTGCGGCGAGGTGAGGGGTGCCCAGCGGACGTATTTGCCCATTCCCATCCCGGCGGCAGGCGCTGCTCAGCCCCGTGCGCACACGGATTGGGGCTGCCTTGGAGTTGTTTATTTCGTAGTTTCCATCGACATCTCCTTTTACCCACTTTTGCGCTTCCCGAGTGCGACCGCACCGGTGATGGAAACGACTGCGAACAGGTTTCTGCTCCTACCCGCGGGCACTGCTGCAGCCGTGGTCAGCGGTGCAGGGGCTGTCGGGGAGCAGTCCCAGACACTGAGGTCGCCAGGTGTTAGGAACCTGCGGAGTCGGTTTTGCTATGAAAGGTGGCCGTGCCGGTGCTCGATTCGCACTTCCGTCCGGACACGCAAACGCACACTCCTGCCTTATATCTGACTTTTAGTGTGGTTGCGCGATGTTTCCCTCCCATTTCGTTTAATCGTTTACAAATGGAGCCCAACATCGGGTTTTTAATGCCCCTCTCCCCGGGAAGCAGCCGGCTCACAGGGATCCCCCTCTGTCCCCTGCTCCCACAGCCCGGATCCGGGCAGGACCAGCAGTCAGCTCCTTCTCTCCGACGGCGCGGGCAGCACCTGCCGTCCCCACTCTCCCACCCCGCGGGGACAGCGCTGGGACACGCGGCTGCCCGGCACGGAGCCCCCGGTCTCTGCCGAGCACAGGTGGCTCAGGGCTGTGCCGCTGCCACCGCCCCGTGCTGGAGGGCAGAGGTGAAGGGCGAGGAGTGTGATTCGGTGTTACGCTGCCAGTCGGGAGGACGGGACGCTGGCATGGCAGCGTAGGGACAACGGGGAAACAGAGGCGAGAGGACCCGGGGGGTGGACAGAGACTCTTTGAGCTCGCACCTCTGGTGAAAGTTCCTCGTCCCCCAGCGCGCAGCACATCGACACCTCGGAGCTGGAGCATCGAAAGCTGTCTGCTGACAGAGCAGGTGGACGCAGCCCCGTGGACACAGCGCCAGATAAAGGCTAAAGGGCCAAACCTATGAACTCTCTTCCAGACAGGGCTACTTTCTAGAAGCCAATGACAGCCTCTCCCTCACCGAAATTATGGGAATTCCATAGGGGGAAGAAGAGTTTATTCAGGAGCAGTTTATGTATGTTTCCTAAGAGCAAACAAAATTCACACCGAATTCATACCCTGCTCCACAGAGTCCTTGGTCTGGGGCATTTATGATTATTATTTGAAGCGGTTATTATTTAGAGCCAATTATTACTGAGAAGAAGGAAGGTGCAGCCTGCGGTTCAATCCCTGCAGCCCTTTCGACTGTCCGCTCAGGTTGCGGCCGGGAGCCCTCCCAGGGGGCGAGAGATGAGGTGCTGGAAATTAAAACCTAACACCTTGCCCAGGGGCTTTGAGACCACGCGTCC